GAAAGTCTTGGCTTTAGATCTTAGCCTAAAGGTCACTATTTACTATAATATGTAAATATCAACCTGTGTTGCTCTAGTGTAAATGATATGAACCAAGAGGAGATCTCGGTCATGTTCTTCATGCTGTTGTTTTTTCTTCTAGTAAAGCAACAAAGCAGCTTTCAGACATGCACTGAAGAGAGTCTCCGAACATTCTCCAGAGTAGAAGCTGATTATCTATCTGGTGAAAAGAATGTCCCAATGAGCCCATGTGAAAACACAGCAGGAGATCATCCTCACCCCAACCGTGTGCTGATGACATTTCTAACATGGGACAGATGCAAAAGTGAAAAACGCAAAAATAATACAGTGCATATATCTCTGGATGTAAAAGCGGTGCCATACACGTAGAAGACTCTGACAGATGTCAAGACAGTTTTTGGTGATAAGGGCTGACGCCGTTGTAGATATGATCTAAAAAAAAAAGCACACACAATCTCAGCAGCGAAATATATTGGTTACATCCTGCCGCCTTATGCTGTGCCCCCCCTCACCTGAGTGAGTTGTTGTCAACGTGTCTGAGCAGAGAATCTCTCCCCGTTGTTCATGTGTGAAAGGCAAATTCTGGAGAAAGTCCAGTCCCAACATTCTCCGGAGTTCATTTCTGAAAACGACCTAAAGGTCCAGCGTGCAAGATTTGGGTGAAAGAGATTTTTGGCAAAATTTGAATATAAAATAATCCTAGTGATGTTTTCACTGGTGTGTTTCATCTAAATTGTATGTATTCTTGTTTTCTTTACTCTAGCATGGACTCTTTATGTTAAAAAAATGTAAATGGAGGCTGGTCCTCTCTGTGGAGGCCACCATGTTTTTTTACTGTCGTCCAAACTGGACAGACTAAAACCTTTTCATGACAACTGAAGTTCACCACAGGTTCTCTTTCATGTTGGGAAGGGGAGGGTGAGATGAGGAGTATTCAGCTGCAACATGAAAGCTCACCTCTAGATGTCACTAAATTCTACACACTGAACCTTTAATTCACCAGTCACTGCAAGGCGTTGACCTTGGACTTCTGAGAACATTTAAATCAGCCTCAGCTTTTTATCATGTTCCTCTGCTGTAACAATGACTTCCTGTCTTGAAACCCATCGAGCGCAGCCATCACTCCGACCCACCTTGAGAACACGCCACTTTCAACCTGTTCATTGCCTCTTTTTTTAAATCCCAAACTTATTAACAATCATCCGTGGTGACTCTGTTGTTGCTCTGTGTCACCAAGCAGAGAAACCAACCAGACAATGGATGTGATTGAGAGGCGACATAGATGACATTATTGAATTTTAATCACATCTTTTCCACACAGCAATTACCTGGCTACAAGATCTGCATGTGTGTGAATGTGTGTGAATGTGTGTGAGTGTGTGATTAGCCAGGGGTTGGAGCACAAGGCAGACAACCGGCTCATCAGGTTCTCATAGTGGCTGAAAGAAGGTCGTAAGTGGCTATCAGCGCACCCAACCCTGTCTGGATGGATCCCTCCTGTCGCAGCGTGGCGAGCTCCCTCCATATGGAGAGTGGCCTAATTATCTCCCACCAATGACTGAATCAACATTTGATTATATCCTCCCTAAGGCTGCTCTGAAAGGCTCTATTCAAAGACCACTTTTATTTCTTTTCTCTCATAATCAAGAATGGCTGTTATTTGCTAATGATAAGTTTAATTTCTTTTTTTTACCATGACACGCTGCGTGGCAAGATGCCTGACATATCTGCAGCACGCCGATTTTGACTTGGAAATTGTATCTGTGGAGCAGTCTCGTCTTTTTTGCACACACCATCGTTTATCGTTTCTTCTTTAAATTGTTCAGTAAATCTTTCAGGTTGGATTAACAGTGAGGATCCTGACTGTCTTTGTTTGGGAGCAGCGTTGTATGTTTTAGTCAAATTACAAACTAGAGCCCTTTTGTACACAACATAGATGTTTTTCCCTGTTGTTTGACAGATGAAATGAAAACCCATGAATCCTCTGTCCTGATTGAATCCTTTGTGGTCAGCACACCTATAAATGATGCTGTGAATGTGTTTTCCATCTTGCCAGACCTACAAATTTCACCAGGATAAAGACAATGAAAAGGTTTCTGTCAAAAAGCTCTCTAACTGTCAAGCCTCTGCAACGCCTCTCACAAGCTAAAATGTATCCTCTCTTTTTTTCATTTTCTGTTTCAAAGCCAGAGGAACCTGGCGGAAATCACAGAGTTGATCCACACGGCGTTCCTGGTGCATCGTGGGATAGTCAACCTGAAGGAGTGGACGGTTTCAGACGGCCCGCTAAAGGACATGCAGTTTGGAAATAAGATGGCCGTCCTGAGCGGTGACTTCCTGCTGGCGAACGCTTGTACAGGACTGGCCCAGCTGGATAACACTAAGGTACATGGCCTGTCACTAACAAACTGGAGTCCTGACAAATATCTGAGCTGACAGCAGTGATATTAATAAGAAACACAGCCGCCTTAATACAGGCTCCCAGAGGCCCCTACAGCCTCACATATCGGTGTCAGTCTTCATCACTACATCTTTTCTCCCTATCACACTACATCCAAACATCTCACCACAGCCATGATTGGTCATTACTGCAGAGTGTAATCTATGGAATATTGCATTGATTTTGATCTTCTGTAGAATACCTGCAGTACAAACAACTCTAAAGTCATTGACTAATCCCTTAATAGTCCACTACATAGTGAGTTTGCCATTTTGTTGGGCTGTCTGAATGTTTAGTGAAAATTTTATACACTACGTAGAGGACTCATTGTTTCCTACAATGCATTGCACCTGCCATTGAGAAACAAGAGGAGAGAGGGCAGCAGGAAAAGCCTAACCTGTTGTACATATGCAAATAGGATCAGAGTATTACAGCACAAACCAGGTTAAAAGGTTTGTTTCTACAATTAGATATTGTCATTCAATGTGTGTTTTAACTAAAAGTAATAATAGTGGGGTTATGAGTGGGTGATTTTGGACACATAGTCTTTTTTTTTCCTGAATCACTCAGACTAAGAATGTGTTAGTGTGATTTGTATTCCACATCCCAGAAATCCCCTCTCAGTGAAACTGATTGATTTCCTACATCTCCCACTCAAAGATCTAGAAAGGTTGATCCATGTCTTCATAACTTCTCGACTTGACTACTGTAATTCTTTGTATGTGGGATTAGGCCAGTCATCCATTCAACGCCTGCATATTCTTCAAATATGTCCGTTTGTTTTCATCAGGATCCATTTATTATTCCCTTGAAAATGGATGAAAATCTGAAAAAAACACACCCAATCTAAGAATATTAAAGAAAAAAAGAACCTGGATCTGTGTCGATTTCAGAAATAGAAACCTATGCGTACAAACAATCAAACAAAAACAATCAAACGGACAGAGGTGAAAACATAGTGGAGGTAGACAGGCAGTTTGAGCTGATAACCATGCTATTATGAGACGAGTAGGTGATAGGAAATAAGAACAGTTTATTGTTATGATTTTCATTTCCATCAAAAACAATAAAGTGCTACGCCTCCTGAGGTCTAAAATCTGTTCAAACAAAACAGTCTGAGTAGGAAACCTTAGTGCAGTCTTTTTATAAGCCTGACACAACTCATCGATGGCTGCAACCTGTGATGAGGCGACAGGGGTAGACGTTGCTTTTTGGGACGGTGGTGTAGATGACACTGTGAGGCCTTTTCACTGGATCTCATGTTATGACTCTCAGAGTTTCTGTAGGTGGCGTACTTTGTTTTATCTGTTCAGCCCATTGACTGCATGGAAAGATAGATGATCTCTGAGCTATCGTCTGACGATGAGTCAGCCTTTTCTCCTGTTTCTCCACACAAAACATAAAAGGTTATACTTTTTGTTGTGTTTCAGGCCCAGACGACATTTTCACAAATCTTCATTAATTGCTATCTGTATATGAATGCAGATAAATTAGAAATTAAGATAGCTGATGCATTTCAACAGGTTCTGCCTCTTTTCATCTCCACATGGACCGTTTACCTGCAGGCAACCAAAGCCTGCTCAAACATGATTGGTCAAACATGCCAAATCTGTTTGTAGGGAGTAAAAGATGGACGATATGACAGCTCCCTAAAAGTAAAGCCAAAGTATCTCCATCACCACCTGGTGGCCGGCTACAGTATAGATCATAAATCCATGGACCAAACTAAAAAGTCAAAGTGCGCAGACTCAGAATCCAAATATATGAGATGACATTGTTTGTGTCCAGGATGTTTTGGCTTCATATCTGTATACTGGGAGGAAATGGAGACATCCATTTTTATATGCGGCCTATGGTTCAGTCATTGTGAAAGGGAAATTTCAGAGCTTTTTTGTACAATAGAACCTGTCAGACATCAAGTGTTTACAGCAGCATACGTTAGTAAAAGCCACAGATTCTTATATCAGGTCCCTCAGTCAGTTCCACACAAGCTGCTGCACACAATCTGTTTGGATGCAGGAGGACGTCGTCAGGAGATAACATTGACATGTGAACCACGGGATTCCTTCTTATTGAGTTTTTCAGGTTTGGACATGTGTGCGGCAGTGGTCTTGTAAGTGCACCACAGATCATATCTACAACGTGGCCCGGTAACCCCGCGCTGACAGATGCTGTCACCGCGCTACTCTGTCAGAATGCGGTTGCCTGGCTGGATCAAAATAACTGTCATCTGTCCCCCACCCCCCACTCCTGTGTGCCATCAGCCAGACCAGCCCTTATCACCTTTCCTGCTGCCTCTTATTCAGCACACAGTCTGGCTTTATGTCTGCTCTGTGATGTAAGTGGTATCCATGGTGCGTCGTGTGTAGGAAACATAGCAGGAGTTATAAGATCCAACATTTCCATTACGAGTGAAAGATAATTCTAAGGGTGTGACATTTCCTGTACAGTGTCATTTAGCTTTCATTGGGATGTGTCCCTTTAACAGCACTATGACAGAAAATACTCACCGTTGCTCCGATACAAATTACACAAGTGGAATTGATGATGTTTCACTGTAAAATGGAGAAAAACCACATTGAAAATAAAATGATAACAGATCTGCTGATGTGCTAATTGGGATTTAAGTTTTGGACCATCTGCTACTTTAATTCATCTCCTTTTCAAGTTTCACACGATGCAATTCAATCTCAGCTGGTACCAGATTACCTCTCAGCAGCAACCAATGAAAATCCTATTGTTGTTCTTACCTTTTTTTCCACACAAATCTGCAGTCTGCCGTTTAATAAGAGTATGAGCGTAACCTGAAGCAACCACAGGAAACGTCCCTGCAGTGGAAGTTTTTAAGGGTAATAAGGAGATAGACATCGGATATTCAGCAGTTACTCATGTTCGAAAAGGTTAGCAAAACAAAATGAAGCGAGGGCAAACCACAACCTGCGCTGATGCTCATTTTCAGATGTGTTTTTAAAGCGCTCGCCACTGGTATGAGCAGGAGGTAAGTTAGACGATTGTTAACAGCCCCTATAAGTCCATCATACTCAGCTAAGGTTACTAGAATGAAATTTGTTTTGACCGAAGTCTTTGAACTCGTGGTTTGAGGTTGAGAAAACCTTGTTCACTTAACTCCTGTTAGTTCTTTATGAGTTTGGCCAAGATTTGATATGAACCTAAAGTACTTGCGCAGTGCAATTTCTCGTTATGTGCAGAGCTGATGTTGCCATGATGGAGATCAGTTGCTGTGAATGTTTTTGTTAGTTTGATATGGTGAAATAAAAATTTTCAAATTGATCCAGGCGGGAATTTGACTACTTCCAGTGTTGTAGTTTATCTGAGGACCTAGAAGAAGACGTGTTCAACTCGGTCCAAAGACTGAAGGCATCTTGCCCCACCCCCACTGACTGTTACAGAGCGCTGTTCACCTGTATTTTTATTCAAATTGAACATATTGCGTGTCTAAATCTAAACAAACTCAGCACAGCACTTCCTCAGGCAGTTTACAGTACGCATGCCAAATGTGAAGATGATTCAATTGCCAGAAATACGTTACACAGACAGACTTACTGATGTTTGGGGAATTATTAGATCGATTGCAGTTCATTTTTCTTTGGTGCGGTTGAAAGAAAACAATGTGTGGATGGGATTTTACCTGAAAAACATTAAAATCACGAAAAAATAATTTTAGAAAAATGTCTTATAATACATACATTTACCTCTTATGATGTTATTAGAACCATCAACCTCAAGAAAACGCAAACTTGGTTGGGGCGACCTTTTTGGCTTAACCTTGGAAACAGCAATTAACAGGACATCCTCAACTTAAAGTAAATTGAGTCACCTGTGCTGGAGCTTTCACTTGCAAACTACATGCAAACTATGTTATTTGTCAGAAGACAAAATAAGATGGCATCTATTAATCCAACACGAACAAGTCACAGAGGAGCTCAGAGCACCTACAGATCCATGTTATCCAAATAAACTCCATCCAAATGTCAAACCACTTTTAGAGTGCATTGGACACACTGGAAAGGTTGCTGATAAAACATGTAGGCAAGTGATAAAAAAACAGAATGGGGGTTTACTGCCAATTAGGTTTACACATACAAGTATTTTGCTGTGGTGTGTTTGTGAATAAGCATACATTTAAAAATAAGGAATTGTGTACAAATATTATAAACACTAGAAAAAAGGTATGTACAATTTGACGTATATACAGTGTGAGCATTACTGGCCACAGAATGTTTCACATTCAACGCATGGAACATTTATAAGTAAGCCTAGGCAATTGTTAACTTTACATAAAGTCAAACTATTTCTGCACAGATTCACATATGATCATTTTATGTCTAGATGAGAGATGAGAGGTGGTTAATACTTTAGGTAGCATAGAAATAAACAAGAGACTTGTTCAAAAAAGGGAATTATCAAACTCCAAAACACTGGTCGGACTGTGGCTGACTTGGTTCAGCCAGTGGCTGCAGGGGTGGCGTTAAGGCAGCCTTCAAGACTAACTGTCAGAAGATCGAATAGGCTGCATCTTGTCCTCTTTGGAGAGAAATGAACAGCAGGTAATGGATCTGAATTTCTTTGACTTAAAAACACAAGACACATCACGTGTCTCAGTAAAGCCTACAGCCAATCAGGGCAGAGTTGTGTCGTCATGGTGGTTCCCAGGTGCTGCGTGGTCTGACTGCAGCCGGCTCGCTCCTGTGTTTTAATGTCACATGACAGGATGATGATTTGCAGTGCTGGAAAAAGTCAGACAAAAATTCTCCGCAGCATGAACTTAATGTGTTCAATCAATTCAGTGCCTTTTAAAAACTGCATCTAACCTGCTTCATCTTCTGTGCATTACAAATACAGTCTATTGTTATTGCAATTAAAGGCTGTAATGGATTTACTGTATAGCCCTGTAACTCACCAGCGCCTGATGCAGATTGACTCTGATGTTGCAAACTGACAGTCTGCTTAACAGTGGATTAGTCTCTGTTTTCTTTCTTGTCGTCTGTGCTCACTATACCACCTCAATTTAATACACAGGGTGACGAATGAGAAGTTCTTCAGCTTTCAAAGTTGTTCTCACAAACCAGCCTTTTTTCTTTCTTTCTTCTAAGACAGTGAGAGCGATGGAGATTATGTGTCGTGGCCTTGAGAGGAAAACCTATGCTGCTACTTGTATAAACTGTAAAGTATCTCACCGAGCAGCTCCGGTTTCTCCCCCCTCACAGACCTGTCGGCAAAACACGATCTGGCTGGATTTGGGAATGGAGTACGGGGGAGGCAGGGGGGAAGCTTATCTGATACTTTCCAAAAAAAGACCCCCCACTGGCCCCCACTTCCCAAGGCTGGCCAGGCAGAGACACCACATCTGGTAATACTGTAGGCACATTGTCCTTCCAGGTCTGTGGGCGCAGCTCGGGTTTCCTCAATATTTTCCCCCGGCGGATTCGGTTACCCAGAGGGCACTGCGAGGCTGACGGCGCAGCCAGTGTCCACCAGACTTTTCTGATGAACCAAGGATGTCTGGGATGAGCTGAAGGAGCTCTAAAATTAACCTCATTCAAATGTACTGTACGGGCGTGGCCTCGACTCCTCGCTCCTCTGTGTGTGAATGAAGGATGAAGGCATCAACTTCAGATTTGTACTCATTCAGTGAAAACCAGCCTTTAAGCAGCGTTTGGAAAAGTTGCAGCCTCTCATCTGGTGGTCGATGAGGCTGCTGGTGTGTCTGTGTGCAGAAATGTAGTCATGCATGCCCCCTGTAAGAGGAAATAGGCAACTGCAGTCTCAAACAAGACTGGCCTCCACAACAGTTTTCAGCTTGTTGTGTATTTAAACATTTTAAATATTCTCTTAGCCCAGTTTCCAAAAAGCAGCTTTTTTTCTATGTACAGTGCATTTATCAACTTACCAAACAGAGTGACTTAATCACAGAATAATGAATTCCTTCATTCATTCACAGTGAGTGTGTTGATGATGTCTCTAAAATGCGTCAGGCGGTAAAACTAAAACAAATAAACCAATACAAATATCTTAGAATTAAAAAGCGGAGCCATATACGTAGAAGACACTGCCAAATATGTCAAGAGAGTTTTGGGTGATAAGAGCAGATGTGCTGCAAACAAAAACATATGTAACGTCCTGCCTCCTTGTGCTGCACCACCCCTCACCTGAATGCTCTGAGTGGAGAATCTCCTGCTGGGTTGTTCATGTGTGAAAGGCAAACTCGGGAACGAAGTCTGGACATAATTCTGCAGAGTTCCTCCAAAGTTAATTTCTGAAAACGGCTTTACCGTGGCACTTCTGCAGAAATCCTATGTTGTCTTAATGTTGTGAATATCAACAGATTAATAAACACATTTTCTTCAGCTTCAGTCATCACAAAAACTCAAAAGTCGTTTAGTTTGTCCAGTCTGGACTAATGTAAAAAACATGGCGGCCTCCGTAGAGCGGACCCCCTCCATGTAAATATAAAGTATTTAAATATAAAGAGCCTTTTCTGGGGTAAAGAAAACTACAATTTGTACAATTTAGATGAAACGAACTAGCGAAAACATCATGAAGATTATTCTACATTAAATTTTTGCCAATTGTTACCTTTCACCTAAATCTTACACACTGGACCTTTAAAGACTAAAGGGAGAGCAGAGTAGACCCTGAAGTCAGATCATCACCCCTCTGTTCTTTGGACACTATTTCATCTCACCATTTCAGCCCCTCAGACCACAGACACCTCAGCTAACAAAGCGTAATGAATGAAATCGAACCTGGATCTCACGTCAACAGGGGCTCTACTATGGCCTGATAATGAGCGGCAGAATCTGCAGCAGTTCACCTGTTCTCCAGTCCTCGTCTCACCTCAGATTTATTCGCCAAACCAGCTGTTCCGACACGACGGCTGTTTACTCGAGCTTCAGACCGGGGGAAATTGTGGCTTCTTTTTTTTAATTACGAATGTCACGGATGAAACGAGTAGCGTGTCAGGTTTTGATTGACCTCATTTGCATATTAGGAGTTTAATCAATGCCGTTAGCCAAAGTGATATATAATGAGGGAACAGGTTAGAGGTTCACTGCCAGAGCCCAGGGACGCTCCAGCACGAGGTCACATGACGTACATGTTGTGTAGATCTTGAAGTTTTTGGTTTAACATGTGACCTATATGCTCACAAGGCAGAACTTTGTGTCCTACTTTGTAGACATGAGGCATCACTTGACGTATTCATGTTTTCATAGCTCCAGAGAAGACATAAGATGTGTAAAGACTCTGGAGCTCTGTTATAGTAAATCTGTTCATTCTTCTTGTTCATTTTAGCCCAAATGTCTGAAGCTTTTTTCTCTTTTTTGTATTTAACAGGTTGTTGAACTGATCTCAAGTGCCATTGGGGATTTAGTTCAAGGAATCTACAATGAGAATTCCAATAATACCGAGGTAAAGTATCTGTTCTCCTCTTATAGATCTACTGCGATGAAGTGCAGCAAACCCAAGACACTTTTTTAAAGAAAGGACCGAAAATTTGTTGGAGGAAATTTGAACCCAATAATAGAATAATTGGTTGAACATGAACCAAGTCCGTTTTTAGAGCTCTACATGATAGACAAACTATAAACTATCAAAATATAGAATTGTATACATTAAGAAAAACTTGTAGATATATAATACATGTAGAAATTTGAATGTTTGGTAGAGGACAGGTAATATTCTCTATTTTTTTAAGATTCGAACAGGTACTGTTCCTGTAGTTTATTACTGTGCCAAAGAGCTTCACTGTTACATATAAAACTATTAACCTGTTACTGGACACGTCCCATTTTTATGCACAAGCCCAAACATAATGTACCCAAAATAAAAAGGTTACTGTTCTTCGGCCTTCTTTATTACAGTCGTAACCCTGGTCTCCTTTGAAAGGTAACTATTTAAATTTTACAACCAAAAAGTCAGAGTGACTATAAGAGACAGTAAACTGAAGTGGCATTAAAAAGTGGACTGTAAGGGCTTTAGTCAGACCTTCAGTGTGGAGCCACAGTTCACACGTTTCATCAGCTGCTGAATATTTTGCACAGATACAATCAGAGGACTCGGGTGAAGATCTGGCACAGACACAATGAATTTAACATTGCCAAGTATTTTTTTTAAAAGGTTAAATTCACGTCATGAGCCACACTGTTGCCGTGGGTGACATGGTCCTTCATTACGATTACACACTGCAGTTTAATTGGACACTTTTCTGCTGGTGGTCACACTCATTCAGGCACCACATGTGGATTAATCCGCCTCTGAAAAGAGTCCCCAACAAAAAGCCTTTCAGTTTCCTCCTGTTAGAGTAGCGCTTGCATGAAACTAGTGTTATGTGTTTTTTTGTTTGTTTGAAATGAAACTATACAGTTGTGGTCATTATTTTAAAGGTTTACATCTTCATCAAGAACAAAGGGATTGTGGAGCTAAAAGCCACAGGCTATATTCACACTGTTTTCATTTGAAAACGCATAAACTCTGCTACTAATCCACCTGCTGCCTACACTCTTGAGTGTTAGAGCAGCTACAACAGAGAGGTTTCGAAACGCTGACGGCCCCCGCTGATGAGTTTAAAAACTCCAGGGCTGCGTTCAAGATGAGGCCTTTGCTAATTCTTCGGGTGCCTATCACAGGACCCCCTTCCATAAGAAAACCTCCAGCATTAGCCTGCTCGGCTACTGGTGTGAAAGACAACGTGGTTAATCAGTTACAAGTGTTGCTGACCCTGTTGTCTTTACCAACAGCTGAAATACAGTTACATTCTGCATTACAATGATTCAACTGTTTGCATGAGGAGGAGACCAGCTGTTTCCAATTCATTTTGACATCAGTATTCCCATTGCACTTTGTCAAATGATGTGCGTGCAGAGATCGTTCTAGTTTGACAAAGCAGTTTTCAAACTAAAACGTATTATGAGACACTTTGTTGACTTTGCTCTAGCTCTGTTGACCTTTTTTTTCTGGGAGATTTATGAGGATTAGTTGACGTCTTCTGATGGTGACTTTAGATTAACTGCTTACAATGAAGTGTTTTCTCTGTTGTTATTATTATTCAGTATACCTTACCGAATACGTGCACTAGTTCAGAGATGGTCTATTGAACCTTGTTATACCTGTGGTGTTTATAATGTTTTTAATGTTGGACTGTAAAACAACATGTTGAATTCTTTGTAGAGCTAAAAGAGTGTTTTCCTGTTCTGGCTCAGCGTCCTCCTCCCCAGGTTCCCTCAGCTCCAAACTGAGGAACTTGTGGGAAATACTGTGTTAAATTGCTGTTACTCTCTGGTGCACATCCAATTACATACTGAAAAATAAAATCACAGAGGAGGAGGGGTTGTTTTGATTGAGAGGCTGTGAGGTGCTCTGTGGGAACCTTGAAGTCGTACAGTAGAGGCAGTCAAAGCTCAGGCCGGCCGTGTCTCTGCCTCTGTTTGCTCTGCAGGAGAACGGTCTCACCGACGGCGTCGACGTGGCGACTTGGGAGGATCAGACGTTCCTGTCCCACGGGGCGCTGCTCGCCAAGAGCTGTCAAGCTGCGATGGAGCTCGCCAAACACGACAAGGAGTCCCAAAGGCTGGCCTACAAGTACGGCAAGCACTTATCACTAGGCCACAAGGTGAGTCTGATCTGAGCGTCCCGACCTGTGGACGATCAATCAGTAAGGGTCAAATGAGATAATCACAGTCATCTGTCTTCATTTAAAGATGCTGGAAACCCTTTTTTTTCTCAATTAGCTTCAAGTTATGAGCAATGGGGTCAATCAAGAACACTGTTTTCTTCTCTATCAAAGTTTGAAACTTTTAAGTTTTGATTATTTCATGAGAAATGTCTGTATTTCTGTTTTTATTCTTTCTTTTCTCACTGGTTTGAAGAATCCCATACGTGTTTCTCTACACCAATGTATGATAGAACCAACCCCCACCCAGTTCTGATGATATAAACAAGCTGAGTGTTTTACTGGTAAATAAATGGAAAAATATTCCATTATATTAAATCAGAAAAAATTGGGGATAACAGCACATGTTTTTCAGACTCTCCAGGAAGACATCCATAGTATTTCACTCAGTCAAAAATAGCTAGAGAGAGAATTTCAAAGCCTGTCTCCACAGCTCTGCACAGCCAGACAAGACCAATCACAGCGTGACGTTCATTGTCAGTTTTCGGAAAGTTATAGTCAGAACATTTCTGTAAAGGTCCCTCCCAATATGACGATGGAAAGCATGGGGACGTATGTATGGGTTGTTAGCTGTGTCTGTCTGTTGTTGGGTGCTGAGCAGGTCATGTACAGTTGATTTCCTTCCCTCTGAACCCAGCTCCATGATGCAACTGTAAACAATGATATCAGAGCAGTGAGAGTGAACTAGAACAGTAAATATGCAGCCGCACATTTAAATAAAACCAAAAGTCACCATAAAGCTGTTTAAAGCTGCAGACTGAGGTGAAGATTCTCTGTAGGTCTGTCACTATGAGCCGCACATATCACATTTTCATGATTATTTAATAACTTTGGTTTCATGATTACATCATGGATATTTAAACGATTGTAAGCCAGTTTTTTTTTTTTATGTACTGGATGTTTGTCCCTGCTGACCACTGTGCTGTTTCTGTTTATTTTGTTACCATGATACGTTTAATATAAAAATAATACAAACTTTATTGGCTGCTGATTGGCTGCATGTTCCACTGATCTACAGGAAACAACAGTGTCCAAACTTCTTTTCCTCTTCTGCCTCTGTAATCAATTGGCCATATTTTAGTTTTACCACATTAGTAGGAATTTTTATGGAATGTTTCACAATTTGAAACATAAAAGAATTCATGAAAGGGGACAGGTTGACATATTTGTCCAAATCATGTAGACTAAATATGTTAACCTGTAAAATTGAATCTTCTATATTGATAATGTTTCCTTTGTAGATGAAGCCGGGTTTTGATTAGATTTAAGTGTCTTATTATTCTTACATTTGTGACAAACATACTCTGTAAGGACGGTGGATTTGTGCAAAGCTAAAATACCATTGGTATGTAATGTTAATGCAGATGCTTAAATATTTTTCAAAGTTCAGTGGTTTACAGCAGTAGTTTAGTGGTGCTAGACTAGAAGTAGTTCATAATGATCCCACTCACAGTGGTGTATTAGTACGTTCCCTCCTGCTGCGGCTCCCTGTAGCTGCCTGTCTGCAGGCTTCAGTGGCTACAGGGATTCTCAGCATGGGAGGAAGCAGAAACGAGGTCTTTGAAGGAGAACCATCAGGCTAGCAGAGTCGTTTAGCACACTTTTTATCAGGCTGCTCATTAACACGCTCGCTCAGAGTGGAGGCTGGCACGACATAGGTTCCCCTGGTTTTAACCACCGACTCAGTTTAATTGGTGGCCGCAGGTTAAGATGTAGAATCTCACAGATTTGTCGTCTCTCTGTCAAATGTTTCTCTCCCTTCTGCAGCTGAACTCTGACCTGCAGCCGTTTGTGAAGAGCAGCGTGGGAGAACTGCTGTCGTTCAGCTTGAGCGCCGCCCCGGTAGTTTTCCACCGTCAGATCGTCGGCCAGGAGAGGTGGCATCAGCAGCTGCAGCAGGTACAGGAGGGATGGGCGGGCTATGGTACCACTGCACAAGCTAGATGTAGTTAGTACTTGGACTGTCAGTGACTAGTAATTCTGAAGAAAACAGTCTGCTCATGCATGAAGTAGAAAAAATTTACTTTTTTGTGATAAAAAAAAAAAAACATACTTTCTTTTTCCACAGATTGTTTCAGCTGTTACACACAACGTATTCCTTCCTCTCTTCTTAACAGGCTACAACACATTTCAAAAGTAAAAACATGAAAAACAAGCCTTTGGAAATCTCCCACTAACCAAAGAAAAATAGGTTATGAAAGCTCTCCCTATTTTTACCTCTGCCAAGGAGGTTATGTCCGTTTGTTTGTTTTTAAGTATACACAAAAACTACTCGACAGTTTTCCATGGAACTTGTTGGAAGTATGCGGTACGTGTCGGGGATGAACCCATTGAACCCATGTTTTGTTGCAAATCCAGGATTTTTTCTTTAACATTGCAAGATGGGATGTTTTTTTGACATTTCCACTATCAACCCAGGGAGTAATTCATGGATCTTGATGAAAAAAATCAGGTATATTTAGAAAACTGACTTAGAATGTGTTGAATTTGGTACAGCTTGATTGAATTAAAGTTGACTGTTGGGCCTTGAAGGAGGTGTGAGCTCCACTGAGTGATATTCTAGTTATAAAGTTATCCGATTAATTTGATTTCCTCTTGAATGAAATAGGAAATCCATTAAACCATACTATGTAAGTAAGAAAGTATGTGGAGAGGATTTGTATTTTCACAGTTTATTTAGAATTTTGTCCCAAAAAAAGATGATGTACAGAGGTTTTTAAGGTTCGTGCTGATTTTAAAATCTTCAATTTCATTTAACTACACTTTTTTAAAAGCGGGTAAGGATGTGTTGAGGATGATGTTAAAGTGATCTTATAAACAATTTCTTTACTGTCTTTTTAGGCTAAAACGCTAAGAAACCAGCTGGATTATTCAAAGGTAAGAACACTGCTTGATGTATTTCTCATTACAGAAAACTCAGCTCTTGAACTACAATGTTACTCAACTGCTGCTCTGTTATTCCTTGCTGCAGCCTCTGTTATGTTTCAAAAAAAATCTGATACAACTTTGCAAGATATTGAAATGTTTCTTTGTTGTTTTTCACCTGTTTACATGGCGGCACTGTATCTGACAGAGCCACCAGATTGAAACACTATGTCTTTTCACTGTAACCTATATCAAAGTTGAGAACTGAGCTTTCCAAAGTCAACGTGTGAGGGAAGAAGGGGAGGGACAGGGGTACAAGGAGAGGGTGAAGCTACAGAGGAGGGGTCTGATGGTATTAGGGGGGTTATCTGGTCCCGTCTGAAACCAGAGCAGGAAGGATTAGTTACCGAGGCCTATTTGTGGAGGAGACACCGAGGCTCTGAGACAGTGGCATTGTGAGAGAATCTCCTTCAGCAGACCTGCTGAAAAGGGGACGTGGGGAGAAGTTGGAAGGAGAGAAGAGAAGAGGGGAGGAAAACTGAGAGCAGGACACAAGAGAGGGATGAAATTTTGGGGAAGAAGGAGAAAGACCTTGGGCCCTCGAGCGTAAAACTTTGCTTTGATTCAAGACAAAATGCAGAATAACCAGTGGAACTTTGTGTTTATTTCTGACAGCTACAGAACTAACTGATAAATAAATAACCTGGATGAAATGACCAAAATGTTTACAAGAATTCCTCCTCTCCACTGTTTTCCATCCAATCTTCAAGTCTTTCATCCCCAGTTAGAAAATATTACCCGAGATGACACTTTAATTTATTAAAACTTAGTTTTTATTAGTATGGGAATTTTATGTAAGAAATCTCATAACATGAAAGAAGTCACAAGATGCAGCCTGTGGGTATAAGCCTGCCATTGGACGCCTATTTTAGGAGTCAGTCTCCTCGCCTTCCATTTCCAACCTGTCACCACAACAAACTCAGTGCTGCAACCTGTCTGGTAAAATATTGGAGAGTTTTAAAGACATTTTGAATCGTACAATCACTCAGTCGTCATGTGTCTTTTACTGTGAAGGTAATGATAGGGAAAAGACATTTGAATGACAGTGCTCGCTCTTCTCCGTGTCCAAAAAAATATCCCCCAAACGACACTATTTTGCATGGACGCCATCCTGGGCATAGTGTCGCCACCTAGACGACTGTGATTGGCATAAAGAAAAAGAGCCGTGCTTGTGAATAAATGAGTGAGATGCTATGAACTAAAAGACTCAGAATCTCAATAACCAAGTGAAATAAATATAGTAATGAATTAATTATTCATATATTGTATTATAAATATAAATAAGTCATTACCATGACTTGTCCTGTGTGTTCTGTCTGACATCATGTTCTTTTCTCATGTTCATTGTTTTACTCTCATTGCTTCTTCCTTATAAAACTTTGTTAGGAAAGGTGATATATAAATTAAGTTTATTATTGTTGTTGATTCATCTTTGGTTTAGCTTAACAAGGCTGAACACGCCACCCACCTCTGAGGCTGCCAGGCGAGGTTAGCTTGGATCTTTATTGACCAAAGCTCTGAGTGTTAACAGCAGCAGCTTCCTGGTTAATCCACAGTTACCTTTGTGGTTCTGTTGATGTTTTAGAGAAAGACTGTGTGTGAAGTCATGTGACTAACTGAAAGGTGAGGGGACAGTGGTACAAAAACTAAACTTTTGAGAAGCACTGACTCCTTTAATGAAAGATTCTGTATTAAATAAACTTTACTTCGCCGTGACTTCATAACTGGGAAAAATGTATTTAAACAAAAAATGATTTTGGAAAAGGGCATTTCAAATTATTCTTATAATGAAAATACAGTGAGTTGAGTTTCAATTGTGTATTAAACTATTTTACAGTAACTCATTCATACATTTCACTTATTATTATATATATGATTTTTTGGGGGACATTTTTGACTTTTTTTGTGCATCATAAAATAATTTAGTGTAGTACTAGTGTATTGAAATGGCCTCAAGTAATAAAGGGGTTTATTGTGTGCATCAGGGTTGAATTACACCTTTATAATGCAACATTTTGTAATTATCTCATCATGAGACCTCAAAAGGAAAGAGGGAGCAAGTAGACACATACATACAAGATTACCCAACATACAAGTGGTGCAGAGCGTGTTAAATTAAAGACACGAGGGAATATTATATTAATGAACAACAACAAAACAAGGTTGGCAGAAGAGATGTGCGTGAAATGAGAGTAAAAAAGAATGGTTTATAGATGAGGTAATGAGCCAGCGTGAGGCTGGGGTCAACACCTGCAGAATTCTTTTTTGGGTTTTAAAGAAGGAAGGGTCTCAGGCAAAAGATGTGCCACACACCAGCTGGAAGTCACATGGGGTCAAATTCACACTCACACTGTAAACGTCATCTACCGGCCGAAGCTTATTTGACTTAATTTTTTAGTCGTAGAACCTGCAGAGAAATAAAGTTCCGGACTTTTCTACTCTCACTGATAAGAGAGAAACTGTCAGTGTTTTAACTGAATCTCACAGTGAACAGTCTCAGTGTTTGTCCCGGTAGTTAGATGTGATAATCTGCCTCCAGTGGTACCAGGGGCAGTGTGCACATGCACGCATTGTGTTCAACAGCGTGTTTCCTGTCACTAAAAGTCGTGCTGTACGTCTGTAAGATCCACTTTATGAGTGAGATAACTTTGTCTGGCTCTGGCTGTGTTGTAGCTGTAACTGGAGTGACACAAACATGACAAACTAATGTGTGTTTTCATCCCTCGACAGCTTTTGGCAGCGATTAAATCGGAGAAAGGCATGAGCTCGGCGGTGGACTTATGCCGTTACCATGGCAACAAGGCTCTGGAGGCCATCCAGGCTTTTCCCTCCTCCGAGGCTAGATCCGCCTTGGAAAACATTGCCTCCGCCGTCACCAAATTTTGACCCGGACACTGTCTCACACACACACACACACACACACACACACATGCCAACACACACAGCTGTTTCTATGTGCAGCCTGAGATCTGCAGAGGCATCAGGACAACACTGAAGAGACATGAGAACTTCCTTTGAGCCAGGTGCTGGCTCATGTCTGGACGAACTGCTCTGCTCGTTTGTGATTGACATAACGGTCATAGATTGAAAAAAAAAAGGAATAAACACACATGACGTCAGCATCAGGTCTTGTATTCAGTCTCGGGTACATACCCGTCATCTCCTGCTTGGAGGAAAATGTCACGCCGAGCTGCATTTTAAAACCTGGCAGTTAATTGTTACCTTGCTTATCAGCGAAGCCACATACCAGGCAGAACGCAGTTAAAGATGTTGTGAGGAATTGTTATTGTCATCTGGAAAATGTACCATGAACGGCAAATTATGCACCAGGCAGCACTTATCCTAACAAATGTTATTTATTTTTTGAACTGGTTCCCTGTGCTTGTAGCGGCACATCTCAGATGATGCTGAAATCATAGCTGCTGGTTGTACTTGTGTTTGCCAAATCAAAAAGTGGCTGTAGCTGAAAGAAATGTCTCAAAGTCATGTTCTACCTAGTATGTGCCTCTGTTGATAAGCACAGCTGCATATAAAATATTTTAATGGAGTTTGGCATGATTCTGTCTCTACAGAGGGAATCAGGAGTAATGTCATCTATGTTGCCTTCTCATGTCTGTCCCCATGTCTGTGTGTGTGTGTGATCCAAGTCGACCCAGGGGCGGGGAAAGGTCACACAGCCTCTCCCCTTGGCCCCGGCCAGCGAGCGCATTGAAGCTCCGCCAAGCAGTAATTATTAATGAAGAGACCTGAGCAAATGGACAGGAAATGCAGAGGTATTGATTGGGCCGGCTGCCCTGCTCTAAGCCGTACAGGCTGGCGCCAGCCTGGTGGCCTGTGGTTTCCCAGGCTGCTGTCTGCGGAGGGGGGGGGGGCAGCCAAGGTGTGAAACCAGGCCACCACTGGCAGCTGTCTGTCACATCGTGGCCACACCTGAAGGACAGAGCACAGGAGACAGGACAGGGAAGAAAAGACTGAGGGTCTTTGAAGCTCCAGAGAACAGCAGCACATGTTGGTATACCACATTAAAGCCTCATCTCTTTAAAGCCTTTCACTCGCAAGAAGAAGTCTGTTGCTAGAAATGGTTAAATATTTAACTTAGAAAAAGAGCAATGCCTCAAAATGACGACCACCCTGTCAGTAATGTCATAAAAGAGAATTATGAGTCTTTTTATAACCATTATATCCATTAAAAAGAATTATGTGTAGTGGTTCCTTTGGCAATAACAGTCTTTAGGGTCCATCTTTTAAACAAGCAGTTGTAGGTTTTAGATGGAATTTGTAATGACACTGGACTGCTCTTGATTATGCCCAAAGTCCAAGGCACCATCTCTGTCCGTCTGTCTGAAACACACTATCAAAGACAGTTTGATGGATCACTGTGACCGTGAGGCTGACGTCTGTGGTTTGGAGTGAAAAGCAGCGTTAATTCCACAGAAATTAAAACTGATGCCAACATCCATGACTTCCTCGTGATGTAACTGTTGTGATCACCGACTTTAATACTTTGGGTTAGAAACAACTGCAAAACTTATGACATCCCCACCAGTCTTAGTTACACTTTTTCACTGGAAATCACTGGGTAGATCACAACAACAGCACAAGGCCCAACAGTCCCTTAATCAGCCTGATTCTTTTAATCAAGATCCATGAATTATTTCCTGAAAAAAACCAAAAAGAAAAAAAACTTCTGACTCACAATGTTAAAGAAAGTGAAAAAGAATTGTTGGATCCAGATCCAAAATGTGGAAATGTTTTGTGGAAATCCATCAAGATATTTGTACATTTTGCCAACAAACAAAAGCACTAACCAACAAATGAACAGGGCTGAAATCATACGGCACATCAGTGCTGTCCAATGTAAAGCAAGTTTGTCATTTCTGTAAAACTAATTCATGGAAACATAGAAGAAAAACTGCTTTTCTTTGTGAGTAACACTTTCTTTCCCCTTGTTTACATGTAGGTGGTAAATAGTTTAGTGTTTTAGTTGTTATATGTGAGTTAACGCACGCTCAACCGTACAATGGAAAGTGTTGGACAAGAAGGACAGGCCAGCTCAGCAATGTAATTACAGCAATAATTACATTTGAATAAAATAAAGTTAAAAGAGCTCAATATTAAAAAGTTAAATACATTACAAAAAAACCTGTTAGAGAATTAAAGTGTGAAACCAAAGACGAGTGTAAACTGTATAGGAACATGTATGTATGTTGTATTTTCCAGAGGTGAGTAAACAAAACAGGCAGGTGAACTGTGGACTCGTAGAGAATATATGATCAGATACTATATAATATACCATGATGTACCACAGTATCCATTCTTTGGAAGCGTGTGGCAGAGCAGGAGTGTTGAAGAAGAGGACTCAGAGGGTGAAAGTGGATGAGTGGACAGACGATAGGATGAAAAGAAGCCAGTGAGGTTGAAATGAAACAGGATGTGGAGTATTTGAACAACAAGCTCCCGTCTGTTGCCGGGTTGTTCGTCCACTTTCTCTGCTGTCTGGTTTCCGCTGCTCGGGCTTCCCGGGAACAGAGAGGTACAGCATGTGCCGGGGAATGCCTCAGGCTCTTCATGAAATATTTATCCTCGCTGTGAGGAGACATGGGGAAAGTTACATGGAAAGTTAAAAGGACCAAACAAAGACAGAGGCTGGGGCACTGCCAGAATGACAATTATAGTTACTAAACTAAACTTTTGGGGGATTTTTTTAAATGAGGTCTGCTTTTAAGCAATGACACTGTTGCATAAAAGCTCCCGATCAGCCGGGCACTGCAGGAGAGGATTTGATGGAGTGTTTTTTTTTTATTGAGGGAAACAGTTTTTTCCAGTGGTAAAAACTAAATGTTTAATGTTTTTTTTCCCCTTCTCGACAACATCACAACCCTCAGCATCACTGTTTTTGATATCTCAAGCGAAGCCCGAATAAAGAGCAGGATGATGACGGTATGAGGTTCGACACTTTTATATCCTGCAGAGCAGAAACCCGACTCTCTGTTTGCTTACATTTTCCAGTTCGGGAGTCTTGGGTGTCATTAAAGCGAGAGCTGGCAGGACTATAAGCTTACATGCACAACATGAAGTGGGCAACAGCGGCCTTAGTGTGCCCAGGCAGGACGATGGGTGCTGTAATTACAGCAGGGTCGAGTGGGTAGAGTTTGTCAGCACAGTCCAACAGATTCCATTACGCACACACATACTCACGCAAACACCACTGTGGATGTTGTAGATGGAGCAGCTGCTGTTATATTTCAACAGGAGGCAGGTTTAACTCCAGGTCTTAAACGCAGCCTCAGCCCTGGTACATTGTTATAGAGGACACACAGAGGGGACATTTTTGAGGTAAAATAAAAAGACTCTCCCTGAACTTTCCTCAGACCCTGATCGCTGCTGTGGAAATGCAAAGTTCCAAAACATGGCTGAACACACTAAACTGGTGATGGGACAAGCGGCCTCCTCTGAGTCATCTGCCCACCAGGTGTCAGTGTCCTCTCTCTTTAAGGTTTTAAGTCACTGCTGGAGTGAGCTGCTGTGGAGTAACAACACATCTGGAGAGTCTGTGACACACTGGAACACAGCAGTGTTTGTGCGCACAGGGTCCCAGGGTTCAGGAGTATGTATTCATGTGAGGACCACAGTAGAAAATGCTGGACATGAGCCTTACTGCACTTCATGTAGCGCTCCTCTACCCCTGATGACCACATACAACTTCTTACGGTACAGTTACACACTGATACTCTGATTATACAATGTGTGTCTGTGCATGTTCTCCATCATACATCACTCACACCATGCCAGTTCAGCTGTCAGGGGCAATATTTGGCTCAGTATCTTGCCCAAGATCACACCAGCATGTGGAATGGGGCACACCTTCTGTTTAGTGGACAACCCGCTCTACCTCCTGAACCACAACACTTTAATGCATTGATATAGCATTAAATAACTCCCAGGAGGACTTCAATAAAGTCGCTAACTAACTTACTTTCAAAAACAGCTTATTTGATGTAATCACATATATGGACTCTATCTTTTCCAGTCTTCTATTGACAACTTCAAGCTTTTCATTCAAGCTGCATTCACCCTCTCGCACACACAAACAGAGTTTCTCTTGACAGCGCTTTTTCTGTCACACATCATTAATACACTCAGCACAAACAACAGGGGAAATATGGGGTTCAGTATCTTGCCCAAGGTCACACGCACACACACGCACACACACACACACACACACACACACACACACAGAATGCAGATTGGAGGAGCTGGTGATCGAACCATTAACTTTCTGGTTAGCGACTTCAAACCAGTTTTAGGAAATCAAACCTTCTGTGCAAACATCTCAAAGTGCAGAGGTGGATGTTACTGTTACTGAGACATCTGTCAGAACACCTTTAAGCTGTTTCATATGTAGTCCCACCACGTCGGTCACCATTTGTTGGTTTAATGTGTACATGTGCACTTCAATGTGCCATTTTATATATTGGGGTTTTGAACTGTAATAAGATCAAGTCAGGCACTGATATCATTGATCACAGTGATGCTGCTGAACCTGCACATCTGCAGCCAGACAGTAAAGATGTTTCTGTATGTGTGTTGGTCGTAGAGTCTATCTGGAAATGAGGCCAAAATATCCCAAACGCTGCCATATTGCTCATTTAGAGTCTGCACAGCAGCGATTGAGGAATGGAGCCGTGGTAACCCTGATACACATGCACTCACCCAATCACGAGTCAGTCTCAGCTGTCAGTCATGACATTCCACTTCATTTTATAGCATCAAATAAGTAATACAACTAAAACTTATCAGAAAAATGAACGCTTGAACAAACATCAATGTGAGAAGAACTATGAATTATCTTTTACTTTTTAGTTTGGCCCTTGTCCCATCAACTAACGTGGAGGAGGTAGGATTAATAACCTCCTGCAGCCAGCCACCAGGTGGCAATTTAGACGCTTTGGCTTCACCTTAGCGGAGCAGTCATGTCGTTCATCTTTATAGTCCATGGTTTAAACCCTCTGGGGCATTGATGCCTTAGCCATGATGGTACCTGGCCTCCTCTTCCAGTGCATGCTGGGATAGATTAGATGTGGCCCTATTAGGGATAAGCATGTATGTAGAATGAATGCACGACTTTGAGAGTGGGGTGATTTTGGGATCTCCATTTGTCTTCCTCTCAATGGTCTATCAGTAAACACCTGCTAATGTCATCATATAGCTGACGGTGATGGATGAAAGTCATTCTCCTGAGATGGGAACAGTATGGCTGATTGGCCTCCTTGACACAGACGAGCATATTGGCCAAAAATGACACTTTAACGAGCTCTTCACGGTGGTAAGTGCTGCACGCCGGCCCCTCATCGCAAGCCTTCGCCTGGCTGACCCTGGGCACCGCTTCCCCTCCGCACAGGGGCCTGCTCGCTTCATTGGCTGACAGATCAGACTGCCATGGAGACAGCTCATTAGTCGGATAATGAGAACCGCACCAGCCGCACGGCTTCTTGTTGTATCATCTCCGTATCGTAACGTTTGTGGCTGGGGACAGAACAGTGGGTGCTGCGTGGTGATTAAGACAGAGTAACAGTAGCATGAGGTTCCTCTGTTCATCTGTTACTGACTTGAATCTCTGCTCCTCAGCTGACACCAATTTACCTGCTCCGGTCACCAGCTGTTTTTAATGGTGCCCCCTACAAATCAAAATGTCTCTGATTCATCTGAACAATATGGCGTCGCTCTGTATGATCGTCTTCTCTTATTTATCATCTCACAAGGTTTGCTTTCTGCTGCGGCTGGCTCCATGTCAGAATAACCCACAGAAATCTTTTTTTGGAAAGTTTGGACTCTTTGACAATCTTTGAACTTGAGATGTAATGCAATCACTCTACCTGTTTTTAAATCATTGCTTAAAACATATTTTTTTATGCTTTTTAACTGGTTTTAACAAATGTTGTTTGTTTTTAACATTTTATTTTATGTTATCTTTCTTATGTTTGTTTTGCCTTGTACTATATTATTCCCATGTATCTTAATAATCTTTATTATTATCATCATTATTATTACTGTTATCATTGTTGTTGTTATTATTGTTTATCAGATAACACATCTCAAACCTGATGTGTTTGGTCATCTTTTTGCACAATAGAATTAAACACAAAGCTTTTGGAAGCAGAAGTAGTGTTTTACTGTAGCACTGGTACAAATCATGTCAACCTGCAGTAGGCTGCAACAAAATTAAATATTTGTCTTTGGGATGTAGTATTTAAAAATCACTCCCTCATTAAGAAATAGTTGTGTGGAGGACAAAAGGAACATTACTAACATGAATCTCCAGGCTGATGTGGTGCATATTTAAGGCAAGAATATTGTGCTAAAAATAATTCACCCGCACAAAAGAATGAATACATTATATTGAAATTCATGATTGTTTGACATTGTTGTAGTTGCTCAAGTAATCTTAAGTCATTATCCATAAAAGGGTGGTTTTAATCTGTTCTGTGGTGTGGGGAGTGTGGTCTCCTTCCACTTGAGGGCGATGTTGCCCACATTATGTTGGCTCAATGGTGGATAGAGATTGTCTTTACAAACAGGAGGTATCACTCCTACTGTGTGTTGGAGAGAGAAGAATAAATAAGGCATCTACTTTTTGAAAATGATAGAGTTACCCAGATCTATAGGAAATGTTTATGAGAAGCCATTTAAAGAAACTTACGGAGCCCATCTGGTGACATGGGTGGGAAAAAAAATTTCCACCACGACTTGTTTGATGCGTGGGAACGAGATGATTATTAGGTGGCCACGAATTAATAAGACGTGGCCACAAGAAATGTCATTTCATCAGTGAGACTGTTGACTTTCTGGCATCAGTAGCTTCAGCCGCAAACATGGACAAGTTTGACCTGATTGCGTTTTATTTTAATCTAGGGATGAATTATAATGATATCCTGAAATCACTTAGACATGGAGTAATTCTGAGCATGAGACACTTAATTCAGCTGCTCAAAAAGCACAGGCTCAAACGTAAACAATATGCTGACCTCAGGGAAGTTGTAGATTTCATCATGCGTCTTATTAATTCGTGGCCACCTAAGAATCATCTCGTTCCCACGCATTAAGCAAGTTGTATCACGGGATAGGATCTCGTTCCCACGCATTATTAATTCGTAGCCACGGAATTTTTTTTTCTCCACCCATGTCACCAGATGGGCTCCGTATGTTCTAGATGTCTGTGGCACAAATGAATTACTCACTATTCTCTGTGCCATTACACTGTCATCTGTTTCTCAGTTCTGGAACTGTGGCTTGCTGTTTCAGGCCTTACAGTTGTCCCAGCACTGTTTCTGAATAAGTCAGTATCAGAAAACATGTCAACGTGAACTAGAAAGCTGTTTAGTTTTTCTTCACCACTCAACTCTAATCACTGATCTGAATCTGAAAGAGACACAATAGTTATAATATTTTATTTTGACTATGACATATAGCACAGTGAATCACAGTGTATTTTATTTGAGAGGAGCGACTAATTTACTAACACTACAGCATACAGCAATACATAGTAGGATATTTATTATGATAACATACCTCATTTATGTAATGTTGCCAACAAACTCCCTGATCAGTATTGATCCAAAAAAAAGTACAAGAAAATATCCAAATATTCTTATGAAGTGTATAGTGTGAATAAAACTCTCCTTGTTGTATTTAAAGTAGTATTAAGGCAAAAATTACCAACATAATTATTGTCGACTAGATTTAGGCAAGGCGAGTTTCTTTGTATATCACTTTTCAACAGCAAGGCAATTCAAAGTGCTTTACATTAAAT